GGTATAACCACCACCTACCTCCATTCGAACGACTCGAATGGGGAGAGGACAAGCTATGGGTTTGGGTGGGAGGGGAAGAGGGGACAATGGGGATGCAGTACATGCGCATCTTCATCTCGCACGGACTTACCAAGGTTTGATTTGCGGCACGGACCGCATTGTTATGCCGGCAGAGGGCCGGGGAAGCTGTGAAATAGACACAACGAATCGGGACGTTGAATTCCTTAGCGACTTCTACCCAGTGGGATCTGGTTTCCGCGTCGGCGTTGGTGTTGTCTGTGCGTCTGATCAGCGACGAAATCTAACCGTTCGTGCATTTGCAATAACACCGTGGTTACTGAGGAAGAGGGGGGATGGATCGCAATATGGGCTAGGGTTGGTGTAGCCTGGCTAGACTCGAGCCAGGGAAATCGACGATTTAGACCGTCGGAGTGTCAATGCAAGGGTGGGTGGGTTGGTCTCTTGGGGAAAGACTGCCCCGTTCATAACGTTCACGTACCGACAACCACAGATCTTCCGGCTGCAAGGTGTTCCTTTGCCACTTTGATGCACTTAGGGCGCTGTGTTTAAACGGCTGGTTAGATGATAGATTATGCAATCTTGGTAGTACATAGATGTGGGTTGGTCGTTGAGGCGTCTATCTGCTGCGCGAGCGAAGCCCCTGCCACTTGTGGGCTTGGCGTAGAAGGGGGTGTTGGAAGGAAGTAACCCGTATAAGGGCTGTAGATATAATGAAGAAAACGTACAGTTTTGAGCAGGTCTTGGTTGACTCGTTCGTATTTCAGCGGTTCTAGATATTCCCAGTAGAATGAGGATTTGCCCGCCCCAGGGCTGCCGCAGAATATCACCAGCTCGAGAGGACTCTGGCGAGAGAAAGGTGGCGCCACTGCAGCATGCAAGACAAGTTGTCAATAGGGTACTCTGATGGTCGATTCACAATCACCCCGTGCATTGAGACTCACCGTCGTCAGTTGGCTCTGCTTGCAGGTATTTTGTCGGATCGAACGGTTCCACGAATGGCTCTGGATCAGCATTGAAGAAGAACTCCTCGGGCGTCTTAAAGGGTACTTTAACATTGAGAGCAAATCCGCTTGAACCGCCGTTAGCGTATCAAGTCCGTGAGTGTGCTTCAAAAGGCCAGCCCTACCGGTCGACCATGGAATGATCGTTCGGCCGTCCAGCAGCGTCCCCTACAAAAACGGACTCTGCCAGATTGACCCCCGACACATCAAAGTCATAGTCATCGAGCATCTCCTTCCATAGACCTGTCCTGGGTTTCCTATATTCGTCATCTTCTGTGGCCGCATATACACTGAGAGGGATGTCCAGTTGCTTCATGACAGCCGACGCCCTCTCCTTGAAGTTGACAAGGCTCTTGGAGTCGCTCTGGCATTTCTTAAGATCTTTCTTGAGACTGATCTTTTTTTGATTCGTTACGACCACCACGTAGTATCTGCACAGAAGAGAGATCAATATCCTGTTGTCCGGAAGCAGCCCGATCAGGGAACGATAAGCCAACCTACTACATACCCATTGTCGTTCAATTCCTTGAGTTTCCCAGGTACTGTATCATGCCACCACTTCCAATCTGACCCATTCCTGGGGAAAGTATTTCCAGAGGCTGTCGAGACGAGCGTTGAATCCTAGGTGCGATCACCTAGTCAGTCTCGGGCTCGTGCAATGATATACCGTAAAATCGCTGAACGGTCTGGTTTTCAACTGACCAGGTCAAATGCCGCGATCCTAGGCTTCTCTGTACTATTTTTGTGACCGAGATCCGAAGTATACTTGCCAATGACGGCACTGTTATTAACAATGCGCCAAGTGATTTGTTCGGGCTTTTTCTGAGATGCCGGAGTAAAAAAGGAGGAAACAGCTTTTTCTAGTAGTTATTAACCCTATTAGTATAGAGACGTACGAAAACAGAATAGGTGTGCCTCACTAGTTATGGTAGACTCAACCTTCCTTTTGAGTGGAGGCGGCGAAATAGCTCGAGTGGGGGAAGCTGTACGTTTCACGCCCCCGCCGCCGGCCATCCTGAGATACTGGAGTCTGGAAATAATCTTGAATATGTTTACCGGGTACCGTGGTTCTGAATCTAGCCGAAAGAGAGATAAACTGCGACTGGATGGCTCGAACTGGTGTCGGATTCAAAAGCGGAAGTCGACGCGCTGACACGCGCCTGAACTTCGCGAAGTCACATGCTTATATTGACGGCTCATTGCACCCATACGGTTGATGGATGCTACAACTGCACCGCTGACATCAATTGAATCAAGCGAGGTGTATGTTTTCAACTAAAGTTTGCTTTTCCAAAAAAGATCTCAGCACTATGTTTTCAAGGCTCCTAATGACAGATTTGAATTTCAAATGATTTATCTACTGAGAGCCATCAACTCCGGGGTATATAGCACGGCTAAAAAGATATGATAATACATGATTACTTCGCTCGCGTATCCAGAGACAGCCGATCCGCCATCTCTAGACGGACGGCCGACTTGAGCTGCTCGCGAAGCCCGAACAAATGCTGCGACGCCGTCCTCATCATCTCCTGATTCCCGCCGTCCTGGACGGTGATAGCAGCTTGTAGGACATAGCTCCCTGTCCGTTCCAGCGGTGAGAGTTCCTGATAAGCAGGCAGCTGCCGACGAGGTCCATGTGATTCCTGCGTCCCAGTCGGGTAAAGCAGGACACGGTGTAGGAAGATAACGATGTCATTGAGAACAAAGACATCCCCTTCCACCACGTACTCAGTGACAAAGCTGAACCCAGTTTGTCAGCTGACTAGGACCAATCAAGATACGAAGGAGCTGGATATGCGCCGAGGAGTACGGGATGCTACTAACCTATAGCCCCAGGCATTCATGGGCGCCGTGATATCACCTTTGGGCAGCGTGGCACTGGCCATTAGACGAGCAGTTACGGCGGATCGAGTGCCTGCCTCGGGAATATCTCTGAATTCAAGTTTCCAGGGCTGGTCCTCGTAACTGTAAGACGATGAAGACGACGATGGCTTCTCCTCCAATCCGGACATGGAGACATCGGGATCTCCAGATGAGGAAGGGTTCCCGCCAAAGTCGGCATTGGCGACGGGACCAACTACTTGGGTATAGAACATGCCGCCATTGAGCATTTTATTAAGGCGCTGCAATTCGACACCCTGCAGATCTTGACTGGCCCCAACCCGGGTGGTGGTCAAGCCTGGCTTGCGGTAGGCCTTGAAAACCAAGCGTCTTTCCAGGCGGTGACGGGGTTGCATGGCCGTCAAACCGGCCAGCTGTTGAAGGAGCTCATGATGCTGATGCGCCGGGACCGAGGCGAAGAGCAGAAGCTCATGCATAATCGCAAGAGGAAGAACCGGGGTAGGAATCGAGACGAATAAGAATAGAAATCGGGAGTTCGTTCGAGCCTGTCTGTAGCTCCCTTAGCTCCGGCCAGCTTTGCTCAGGGAAAGACGGAACACATCAGGCAAAGCCGCAAATCAGGCAAAAAGCACGGGTGAAGTCGGGTCGGAGACTCCTTCCGAGTGTCCACTTTGGTCCGGCCGGTAAGTAATATTGTTATGGTACGGTAACTGCCAGACAAGTCTCGAGAATTCAGTAGTAACACAATAGTAGTTGAACAACAATCCACTTTCTGGCTGGGCGGAAAACGCGTGGGGAGATAACAATCATGTGATATCACGCGATTGTAACTCCGAGGTGAGTAAACCAGGGATTTCAGTGTGAGCGGCAAAATGCTAGAAGGCAAAGTTTAAGAAGACAACAAATCAACCATAAAAGATTTTTTTTGAGAAATTAAACTTTATGTTCTTTCTTTTTTCCTTGTTCCTCTAATATTGCTTGTGTTGAAAATTTCCCCTTTTGGACAGGGCTAATTGGAGTAGACTCATCCGAGCACATGCCAAGATGGGGGGAGGGGAAGGAATTTACTATTAGTGAATAGTGAGGTTGACTTGCCCTCCTTCCCAGGGCTTGCGGAGGGGGGGGTCAGATCCCGGAAGGTAAAAAGTACAGTATTAAATCTTACATAGAGTGAGGGTGTACGTATGTGCATGTGTGAGGGGGATCACGCCAGACTACGTACTTGTGATGTTTCTCCGCTCAGGTGATCTAAGATAAGAGAGGGTTTGTTACACCAACTGGAGCATCATAACGTCCTCCGGGAAATCCTACGAATGAGGGGAAGCCGAAAAGAGACGTGCAGGTGAAAAGCGTCGGGAGGAAAGGCGATTAGAAGGAAGCACCGATGCAGGTCCCCCAAAATCCAAACTCACTGGCCACTCAGGCACGGGTCTTCCTTCACCGGGGATGCGGGTTTGGGCAAGGATCGGGGCCGTCGGGAGTAATCATCAGGTGTCAATCATTCTAAGAGTCTATCTGATTTGGGGAAAAGATGGAGAACATGATGTCGTCGCTATCGAATTGGCAAGGAGCAGCTAGTACCGACTCGACCGAATAATCTCTGATCATACCACAAGCAGCATAGAACCAGACGTTGAGGAGTAGTAATCGTGCCAGATTGATGGTGGAATGGATGGTGGAAGGCAAAGCCCGGATCACAAAATCCGGCGGCGGGTTTCTCGTTAATAACCCGTATTACTCCATACATACCACCAAAGCTGGGCTTATCAAAAACCCACACCCTCGCTTCCGCTCCGACCCTCGTCGGCATTTTCCCTCTCCTCCTCCTCCTCCTCATTCATTTCTCTTCCCCTTCCCCTCCACCAGTCTTTCCAATTCTCCTCCTGCTCCTTTCCCTCCGTCCAGACAGCCTTCTGTACAGTCCTTGCCTCTTTCTTTCTCAAAAATATATAGGCCTTCTGTGTCCTTGTCGTGGAGAATCCGCTGCCTTCCAAAAGCTTCCTCTTCCACTTCCAACTTATTAATCGCTTAATTCGGTCGCGTCGGACGCCAGCGGTTTCTCTCGATTCCTCGCTTTTCATCCTTACGACTACCTTATAATCTATAACCCTACCTTCCTTCTTCCTACTATACAAAATGCGTGCCACTTTTGCTCTCCGCAGCGCTGCCCGCACCCCCCTCATCCGGTTCCTCGGCCGCCGTTCCGTGCCTCGTATGTATTCCTTCACACCCGTCAATTCTACGCGCCTGCCTCTTTGTCTAACATGACCCATCTCCAGAGTCCGTTGACCACACTCCCCGTCCCCACCCCGCTTCTCCTTCCGGAATCCTCCCGGACTCTTTCGCCGCCTACCGTATCAAGGCACAGCAGCACGGCCCCCTTGGCCGTGCCTCTTTCTCTCAGGGCATTGGCCGCAGCGCTGGTGCCTCCCTGGGCCCCGTTCAGCCTAAGCAGGGTGAATTCTTCGACCGCGACGAGCTTCCTGCCCGTTTCCACCGCCTTCCCTGGTCCGAGGCCGAGATTGAGGCCATTGAGACCGGCGGTGCCAGCCTGTTCGCGTAGATCATTCCAGGATCTCACTCAACGAGAGATGACGCAACGGTAGCGGTCACGGTTTTGTGATTGACGAATACTATCATGTTAAGATAGAGTACGGCCATCGGCATGGGGCCGTGGCAGCCGTTGTTCTCCCAATTCAACCATGGAGTAACAGGCGAGTTGTGGGGCCTGGTTCGTCTCGCATCATTGGAACTTGGATGGTACTATAATCAGGGGCTGGGAGCACCGTCGCATACTGGTGATGGGTCGTTTGTTGGCATTGTCCAACCAGGAGCTGCTTCCGTCCCTGCACTTCTTCGATTGCTTCTTTTTATGCTTTTCTTTTCGGTCACGGCGCTGGTGGTTGCTTGTTTCGGAGCTTAGCGGTTTGGAATTCCTTGTACTTGGGGCGCGACACATGACGGATGCTTTCTTGTTGTCTGGCTGGGGCTTGCTGAGATATCTTCGGATTTCTGTGCATAGATGGTTGTTTCATTCGGATCCAAAAGTCTGCTGCATGTTGGACTATCCTCGGTTTGCGGGGCTTTGTTTGAGTTCTTCCCTGAGGTTTATTAGTACTATACTGAGGCTCGAGGAGACCTTGAATACGATCAATCAATTCAACATAACTTTTTACAGTCACGTAGTCTATCGTAGAGAGCTACTGGTCGTCCATCCGAGATTCTGCCGGACTGCAGCGGACAGATGTCATGACACGTGCCCGTATCCTTAGCGTCAGCTCCTGCCACGCAACAACAACAACTTTCTATACAACCTCCATCGAGCTACGCGCCTCCAACATCGCGTCAGGTCTCAAACGGGACTTTCATCGAGACCAAAAGGAACACGCGCCATATAATGGCCCTTAAAGAGGACACCACCGCAATAACCTTCACCGAGGTGGACGAAGTTAATCACCCTACCGCAACTTACATTTACTCCGAGCCCGCAGCGGGCCCTGCACGTCCTGAGCAGGACAAGAAGCATGGAGAGAATTGGGGACGCGTGGATGTGGCAGTACGTGATTTCCAATGTTACCTAATCTGAGCACTAGGCTGCAAAGCTGTCATTCCGATTTAACCATTTGCTTGGTAGCATGCTTCCTCCACTACTCTGGCAGCTTGGTCTTCAAAGAGCGTTCTAGACTTTCTGGTTGAGGTCTTCCTTCCTGCTGGATATCCCCACAGTGTCACGGATGATTATACGCCGTAAGATACTGTTGATCTCTCTCCCTAGCATTGGGCTCTACTAATTCATACAGATACCAATTGTTTGTATGTAGAAAGCGTTAAGCGAAACACTACCATACTTGCCCCTATCAGACTAGACGGCTAATCCACGAAGGACTCTCTCCAAGCCTTCAGCAGCTCGATTGCCGGTCTCTTATCCTCGAGAGCAGTGCTGCAAGGTCGGTAGATTTCCTATTCACACCCAACTGCTGGTCCACAGACTACCAATGCTAACAGCCCTTAGGTGTTGGAGTTGGTAACGCCGATGCCTCCCCCACCGCAGCCCTACTGCTGCATATCCTCCAAGATTCCTCTGGCCGGATCGCGACGATTCTCTTCGCGCATCGGGTTGGTACTGCTCTCGAGCCAGAATGCAAGATGTACCGGCTGGCAGCAGACGTCTTCAACGATCTAGCAATGATCCTCGACTGTCTCTCACCAATGATCCCGGCAGGTGCTCCTCGAGTCACCGTCCTCAGCACAGCAGGTGTCCTTCGGGCTCTATGCGGAGTAGCAGGGGGGAGCTCCAAGGCGAGTCTGAGTGCACATTTCTCTCGCTGGGGGAACCTCGCTGAAGTCAATGCAGTAAGTGAATCAATCGTTATTCGAACCTCACGCCTACAATACAGCCACTAACTTCTTGTCAACAGAAAGACTCATCACAAGAGACAATCATATCCCTCATCGGCATGCTCGTAAGCCAGACAGACCCTAAATACTACAGCTCATCTTCCCCCGGGCAAACCTGACACACGAACCTCACAGGTCGGCTCCTTCGTTGTCTCCCGCGTGACCAGCTTCTCCACAACCTGGATATGCCTCTTGATGCTTCTAGCCCTGCATCTCAGTCTCAACTATGCCGCCGTGCGCTCCGTCCAAATGACCAGTCTCAACAGACAGCGAGCCAACATCGTCTTCTCAACCCTCCTAAACACCGATCCAGACGTCACACAACTCCTCCACCCAGAACTCACCAAACAACAACCACAATCCCACCAACCACCCTCCTGGAAGACCCTAACCCCAGCCCACGTCTCCAAGCAAGAGAAAATCTTCGAAACAGACGGCATCCTCCGCTGGTCCTCCTCAACAACGACTCCCCCTCAAACCCTCGGTTACTGTCGTATAGGCATCTCTCTGCAACAATTCCTCTCCTCGTCTGCACTATCCACCACATCTTCAAAATCCCTCCGAACCCCAATCCCAATGCCCCAACTCACCACCCTCTTCAGCAAAGAAGGTTACATCCTCTACCTCACCAACAGCAGCAGCAGCAGTAGTAAGAAGACCCCAACATGGCACGCCAACATCCTACTCAAGAATACCACTACAAGTCAATCTCAGCTCAAGGCATGGGCGCATGCCTTGCTGGCTGCAAGGGTTTTGTCGACGTCATCAGCAGCGGATTCTATCAACACCTCAAACCAGGTTGAATCTACGATAGATGTACTGCACCGGACGTTGGAGTTCCTGAATGAAGGGTCGAGGTTTGATCGGTATACGACTGTGTTGACGGACAATGGCTGGGATTTGAGCATTGCTGCGTTGGAGACGAGGTCGGGAAGGAGGGTCGTGGTGTAATATAGCTAGCATAGCTGTTTGTCTATGACTGGATATTGAATTAGTGTACTCTTGTGTAGTTTAGTAACATGAGTGTTTTTATAGCAGTCATAAATGCTTTGTGATGATCGATACATGAGTATTGACTATGTAGGAAGGAGCACTGTTGATGGGTGAGATGGGGTTTCAATACTTGTACGGTTTATGACAAGACAGTCTACTCAATCCTACGTTCGAGCACGGAACAAGTGAAGATAAAAAGCATCCAATCCATGGGTATCTATCGATCAGTACACAGTGATGCTAATGCTAATGCTGATGCAAAGTGTGATGCTAACTAAAACACGGAGGAGAAAGAAAAAAATGCAGTCATGCCCTTTGACAAAAGGGGGATAAAAAACAACTCCCATGCACGCACACATCAACAGAATGTCCCCTCGACACCCCACACCACTCCCCCTTGTGAGAAATTCAATATGGATACACACACACAAAACGCCAAGAGACATAACAGATAACCACCATCCCGTTTTGGAAACCCCCAAGTCTATATGGTTTTGATGATGACAAATGGAATGATGCACGCTGGGTCGCTTGCTTCGATGCAAGTGGAAGAAAAAAAAGGCAAAAAGAAGATGAGACAGAACGCCGGAATATGCTTAAATCATAATGCACATGCATTACACCGTCCACTCGTAGTCAGTGAGTCAATGCGACATATTCGCTCAATAACCGAGAGATCAATCATATATGCGGTATCAGGTTATGCAGATCGGATCATGCGGTCTAGCCGATGCGGTGAGAGGAGTAGAGATCAGGATGCCATTTTTGGCGATCCGGCGAGGATTCGGAGCGAAGAAGGCTTTTGAGTGATAAAGGACATCATCAGAGCTTTCATGCTCTGCCAGATTGGGTGTGATTTCGATAAGGACGTTGTCGGCCGGTTCTGAACGGCCAGTCATTCATCCATGCCGGACAACTTGAAATGTTGGTTGCCGGAGCCTCCATGGCCCGAGCGCTTTTTGAAGCCCAACTTCAGTCCCATCTTTTTCCATGGGTTTTCGGTGCGCTTCGGGCTGTGAGCCAGGTGCATGCAATGGGGATCACTGGAGGGAGGCGTAGTCGGCGGTGTCATTGGTTCGCCTGCACTGGCACTCGATTGCAAGCTTCCAGAGTCATCAGTCAACGCTCCAGACCCGGAATCTCCGCTGGCGTTGGAGACCTGTCCCAAAGTCCGATGGCCGACCTTACCCATGGAAGTCATTGCACTCAAGGAGAAGTTCGAGCGGCTAGGCGGAGAACCGACGGACACCGGCGATCCCAGATCCTTGGAAGACTGGGGAGACTGCCGTCTCCTCTTCGATCGGCCCCGACTGGCCGTGTGCTCGTCGAAGCTCGAGTTGGATACGACGGTGATATCGTCCTCCTGAGAAAACAGCGGCTCCGATAGCGGCAAAACGTGAGCGGTCGAAGCATGCGAGTTGAGAAACGGCAGAAAGATCGACTCCTCCATCAGATCATGGACGAGTTTTACGGCAGCGTCCAGGGTTTCGGGAAGCGGCGGGTTAGGAAGATTGGCGTGTCGAAGGATGTCATCGCGGACCTCGCTGGAGACGTTGATCTCTCGTGGAGATCCGGGCAGAATGTAGGCGGTCAACAGTCGCTGCCAGAGCATACGCAGATGCTGGCTGCCGGTGCAGTCGGTGACGATGGGCGATTCATTCAGCTGGCGGCTCAGGGCATCGTATGTTTCCCGGTACCGCTTGGCCTCCAACGTGAATTCCAGGGTCTCCAGACAGTGGTTCTGCGAGAGATAGGCCATAAAGGCACTAAGGGTGTATGGGGCAGGTGCAGTGTTGGCCAGCACCTCATCTAATGAGGGACGCATGGGACAGAAAGCACCCGGAGGAACCGTCAAACTCAGCGGACGCGAACCGGAGGAGTCCATGTCCTCGTCCGACTCGCTGTCCGATGAGGAAGACGTGGGAGAAAGCTCAGGGGTGGTGCTGGGAGTATGGTGTCGGAAGAGTATGGGAGGATGCAGGGTCTTCTTTTTAAGCATCGCGTACAGCGTGCGTCGGTCACTGGGGTACGGCGCAGGTGTGGTGAAGCCCCGAAATCCACCTCGTTGTTGCTGTAATCCTCCGAGACAGCCCAGGCAGTGAATCCGGTACTTCGCCAGTCTTGAATGTTGAGTGGCCACCCTTTTCCGGAGAGGCCAGACTCGTCGATAAG